TCCTATATTTCGTTACGCTTTGAATGTCATATCGTTGTTTTTTTTTTGAATGTTCGTTAATAACAAATTTTAATTTGCATTTGAATTTTTGTAGTGTTGTGCGGTTTATAACTACTTACTGTATGTGTTAAAAATGCAACACCTGAAGCGTTGTTTTTTATGTGGTGTTAAATATAAGGCAGATACCACTAATTTTTTAACGTGTCTCAATGTCCTTCGCGTAAGGAACGTTGCGAAAGCAGCTGTGGGCAGAGCTGCAGTGAAATGCCTTGCTGTGCGTTAAACATTTTAAAGAAGTAGATTCCACAAATACACCGGGAGGTACAGGAAAGGCACGTTTGAAGCCAAGTGCTGTTCCTATGACCCTTATGCCGAAAAGTCCCTCCAACAACACTGCAACTCATAAAACAAAAACAGAAAACAACATACACGTTTTATCAAATTTTAACTAAAGAAAATAAATAAATAAGAATAAACTTCAAATATACTTAAAAACGTCAACCAGTGAAATGTATTTTTTTATTTTTCCTTACACACGCTCATTTTTATTTTTACTCTCCCGAAAACTTTGACTTTTGTAGGTTTGACGTCAAATTGGCTTCTACCTGTTTTATTGTACCATGCATTCCGATAAGTAATCCCCAAATCTTATCGAATCCGACTGGGATTGCGCTTGGCTGGGTAATGGCACAATTTTTTTTGGCGCTGACACACTAACCCAGCACCATTGTCGGAATCAGAACCATGATCCAACCAGAGAACGTTTAAAACAGAGAAGCAGCAGAGAACGTTTAAAACAGAGAAGCAGCAATTACGAATAGCCGTGTGAATTGTCAAACACTACCAAAATCGCTCTAGAAGCTCACCACTCGAATCGAAAATTGAGAGCGGTCAATTAACAGATCTGAGCGGCAAGTTTACAGAGCTGAGCGGAGATACAATTTTGTTAATTTTTATCAATGTTAAGTACTTTGGTTTGGAGTTTCTTTTTCGCGGCATTGATTTAATAAAAAAAAGATTAAAATTCTTGGTTAAATTAATGAAAATTAATTTACGAAAACATATGCCAGGGAACTCCAAAACGTAGATTTGTTATCTAATAAATATGTGAAAGCTATGCAAATATGCAAACTCATTGGTGATTTGCCGTCGGCATCTGGGTCGCAAAAATCGTTTTTTTTTTTAACGATTCTTATTGTAGTTGCTACGCTATTTTCAATGCAACAAATCCCAGTTTTCTAACTGCCTTAGTTTTTTCACAAACTCACTTTAAAGATGGACGCATTAACAAAAAAGTTTACAAAGCAATGCACTTGTTAACTTCAAAGTTGTTTTTGAGTTTTACTGCAATACTCGTAGATATTATTTGTAAATACCTAGGTAATAGTTCTGGAGTAAAATTCAAATCCATTTCCCAGGCATGCGCATATGGATGCTTGTAGTACATATAGATGCGATCAACTAATTAGCAACGAAATTCAAAATGATATTGTTTACAAATTATGTTTATTTATTTATTTTTAATAATTTCCTTTAAAATATAATTTAATATATAACAGAAACCACAATAATAAAAGTTTAAAAGCTTGCACAATTTGCAAAATAATGAATCAAACTTCAAAAATTTTTTATAAAAATTTAAAAATTTTTAGTTAGAATATTTAGAAAATTTTCGGTTAAGCAGCTTTGTCCATTCAATCAAGTACACTAAAGTCCAAGTTTCTAGTCGTTAAAAATTACCGTTGATTTCTTAGAATTTTTTTTTTGTGGAGGGTGTTTGCATTTTCTTCCATATAACACATGAACCAATTTTTTTTTGTATGAAAAATAAACAGCAACACCCCAACAAAAAAATCTAAAAAATCAACGGTAATTTTTAACAACTTGAAACTTGCACTTTCTTATAATATAATTGAATGGACTACAATACTGCATACCCGAAAATATATTAAATATTCAAATAAAAAATTTGGATGACCATTTCTTGAAGATTCATTCATTTTATTGCAATTTTTGCAAGCTTTTAAACTTTTATTATTGTGGTTTCTGTTCCAGATTGAATTATATTTTAAATGAAAATCATTAAAAATAAATAAACATAATTTGTTGATGGCAGCTGAATGTATGTGTGTATGTACTTACATATGTAAATAACGGGTGATTTTTTAAGAGCTGGATAACTTTTTTTTTAAAAAAAACGCATAAAATTTGCAAAATCTCATCGGTTCTTTATTTGAAACGTTAGATTGGTCCATGACATTTACTTTTTGAAGATAATTTCATTTAAATGTTGACCGCGGCTGCGTCTTAGGTGGTCCATTCGGAAAGTCCAATTTTGGGCAACTTTTTCGAGCATTTCGGCCGGAATAGCCCGAATTTCTTCGGAAATGTTGTCTTCCAAAGCTGGAATAGTTGCTGGCTTATTTCTGTAGACTTTAGACTTGACGTAGCCCCACAAAAAATAGTCTAAAGGCGTCAAATCGCATGATCTTGGTGGCCAACTTACCGGTCCATTTCTTGAGATGAATTGTTCTCCGAAGTTTTCCCTCAAAATGGCCATAGAATCGCGAGCTGTGTGGCATGTAGCGCCATCTTGTTGAAACCACATGTCAACCAAGTTCAGTTCTTCCATTTTTGGCAACAAAAAGTTTGTTAGCATCGAACGATAGCGATCGCCATTCACCGTAACGTTGCGTCCAACAGCATCTTTGAAAAAATACGGTCCAATGATTCCACCAGCGTACAAACCACACCAAACAGTGCATTTTTCGGGATGCATGGGCAGTTCTTGAACGGCTTCTGGTTGCTCTTCACTCCAAATGCGGCAATTTTGCTTATTTACGAAGCCATTCAACCAGAAATGAGCCTCATCGCTGAACAAAATTTGTCGAATTTCGAACATTTCGAACCGAACACTGATTTTGGTAATAAAATTCAATGATTTGCAAGCGTTGCTCGTTAGTAAGTCTATTCATGATGAAATGTCAAAGCATACTGAGCATCTTTCTCTTTGACACCATGTCTGAAATCCCACGTGATCTGTCAAATACTAATGCATGAAAATCCTAACCTCAAAAAAATCACCCGTTATGTACCCCATACACATACTCCAAAATCATTTATTGATAACGTTCTTGCACATGCACATAATATTACATATATGTATGTACATACATACTAACTTTCTTCTTATTTGGGGCTGACAAACTTTAACTTAAGAGTCGACTTTATTTCGTCTACTAATATGCCCCAATAGTTTTGGAGTCAAATGAAAATGCATTTCCCACGCATGCATGCTACATTATTTGACAACGTACGTTTTTACATGCATATATGTATAAGTACATACATACATACATATGCGCATATTACTGCCTAAATACTACGCACATATATACAAATGTACATATCTACAACTCATGGCAGCATACATACACACACACATAATTACGCGCATATTCAAATACAACAATAACTATTTCATTCATAACGCATGCGCGTATTTCTCAAGGCCAAGTAAATTCATTCATAAAAACAACCGCAGCACATCTCCCCGCAAATTCATCACCAACAAGCGCAACTTTGTCAATCCGACACAAAAATTCTAACATCTTAAAATGAAGAAATCTCGGCCAGCCAAGTGAAAAGTGGCAATTATTTCTCTATATCCAGTATAATAAGTTATCTCGAATTTTGGCAATTTTTGGTAGTTTTTGACAAAACACTAAATTTCTCTGTTCCCTTCCAATATTTCAACCACTAACTAGTATTTAAAGGTGTAATTTTAATAAACATTAAAAATAAAAGTGTATGTTTTCTGCAGCAAAATACATTAATTTTTTT